AGTCGAATATCACGAGAAAACTAAAGAACCATGCTTTATCATAAGATTGACCATAAACCTTCTTTAGATATTGAAAAACATTCATTTCCTATGGTGGGGAGGGGGGGGGTTACCTATAAGGTTGGATAAAATGGTTCCCATTTAACTCATAACTAGAACTAGAACATAACTAGAACTCTTTTAAAAGAAGTGATATATTCAGCAACCGCACTTGAATTATTCTTTCAATGCTTCTGAAAGAGATTGGAAAAGCCATGCGCTGTGCGCATTATCTAAGACAACGGAACCAAAAACAAAAATGTGTGTGTGTGTTTTATAGCAAAGCCACATAGGGCTACCTGCTGTGTTCACCAAGCAGAATCGAACCACTTGTTTTAGCGTTGTCAATTCTTAGGCTTACCGCTGTCTCAATGGGGGGTGTGAATATTAAGTAATATTAAGTATGAAAAACAAATTCAAAGGGGTACTAGTATGGAGTAAGACGGCCTTGGCAATCATAAGTTATAAAAATCAATGAACTTTCATTGGTTTTTTTCTCAGTATATTCGGCTATCTGTAATTCCTCATTGCTTATAATCAGCAAAGGGAAACAGACATAAATAAATACTTTTTAACAATTAACACTTCAAAGTGCTTACCTTAGATCAAAACTGTTCAAAAACAAAAATTTTGAGTCTCGCTTTCATCATTCACATTCGCATTTGGGCAGTTTATCAGTCGTTTTCTCGTTGAAAAGTTCCTTGTCTTCCCTGAGAGACGTTTTAACTTTTTTTTCTCTTTGAAATATTTTCATCAGCTAATATATGGTGTTCCCCTTCCCCCAGCGGCTCAGCGGTAAATCTGAAGACTTATAATGCTAAAAAACGGGTTTTAGACCCGTGGCAGAGCACAGATAGCTCATTGTGTAGCTTTGTGCTTAAGAACAAAAAAAAAAAGATAGTTGCTTGTCATCTCCTCGAATGTTTTATTAGCAGCTGCTTAATGGTCCTCTTTAAAGCATTCTCGGCAGTTGAAAATTGGTTGTGTCCTTTTTGAAGCGTTTGATAAATTGTCTTCTTTTCAAAATGTTATCAGTAGTTCATAGTTGTTTCTTTCTCTGGAATATTTAAAACTGATAATAATTGGCTATCTTCGAAATCTTTTCAATAATTAGTACAAAAATTACTTTTCATTTTACAGTTTCCATCAGCAGGTTATTGATGACATTCTCACAAAGGTTTTCAGCGCTTAAAAAGATACGAAAAACATACAAACCTTGCAGTCTAACAAACTTATCGATTCTTAAAAGAAGCGTTTATCTATCAGATCAAAACAAAGACTCTCTTAGTTACCAAAACTAGCTTTTGTAGTAAAAGAATATTTGTATACTAGTATTCTACATGCATATTTCGTAAACCGAAAACTTTGTCTTTCCAACAATGAGATATGCTTTATCTTTTGTATCCTTCGATAATAATGTATTTTGTGCCCTTGTAGACTTTCAACAGTTAGGTAGAAAGTAACGTTAGTATCAGATGTAATCCAACTTTGTTTTGTTGTTCGAATATTCGCGTAAAGCAACTCAATTTGTAAAGGGGGGAGGGGTAAAGGAAGTCAAACGTAAGACCCACAGATTTTATAGTACGGCGCGTTAAACTCTAGGCCATGCTAGGCCCATTTAACATTGTATCCTTCAACAAGAATGTGCGATAAACGTTTGTATTATTATTCAAAAATAATATACTGAAATCTTTGTATCCTTTCGAAGTCAGGTATAGTATAAATTTTGTATCCTTGAATAAATATGTATACTGTAAACTCTGTATCCTTTCAAAACCGGTCATACTGTGTTCTACAAACATGAGGTTTCCTCTAAGTTTGCTATCCTTTAATTATCATTGTGTACTCTAACCTTAATAATCATCCATATATATATATATATATATATATATATTAAATGCACATTTATATACTTTCAGCGATCACATTTATTTTAATACATACAAATGGATCATATACGTTTTGTATCTTACAGCAAGCATGTATACTGTAACGTTTGTAGACTTTCAAAATCATGTAAAATGCAAATTGGTGTTCTGTAACTTTTAAAGAATCAGATTTGGTGTAACTTAGCGTTATCGTTTTGCTGTCACTTATTACCTCCGCCACAGAAGGTGGACGGAAATTATGTTTTCACTCCCGTGTGTTTGTCAGCAAGATATCTCGAAAATGACTGAATGGATTTGGACGAAAGTTGTTATACATTTGGGTTATGACCCAACTTACAAGTGATTAGTTTTTGTAGGGTCAAGATCAAAGGTCAAGGTCACGAAAATAAAAAAAATCCCTATCTATTAAAATGGGGACCGATTTTTTTACATTATTTTTGCTCTATAACTCAGTCAAAAATAATCAGATTTTGATTAAACTTGGTGGACATATGTAGATTATTATTCTTTATTGTCCTACTAAAAATGGTTCGTGTCCGTTGATAATTACGGACGTATGGACACATTTGCATATTTTTTTGGAGCCGAATATGATCAACCCTGCATGCGTGGTGGAGGTATGCACTCTACTCTAGTTTTTATTTTTAACTTGTTTGAACTGTTTAAAATCCTAAAAGTTAAAAGAAATTACTATATATGCAAAAAAACTTAAAATTAAATGTTTATTAATATGTTAACATTCACAGAATATTGACCGTAATTAATTAAAAATGATTCGCTGATGTAAAACTTTAATCTGTGTCTTTAATGATCACATGTTCAAAGTGACTTAGAACGGTTATTGAACTCTCTTTGAAATTGGTTTGTTTCAGATATTCGCGCAGAGCTAACTGCTCTAGCCGTTTCTAGTTTTGAACTGACAAATTAAATGGAAGCCAACTAGTTAACAGTACCCACTGCCTATTGGACTATTCTATTTGAATAGTGCATATTTACTTGTTACTCTTATAACTCTCCTAAGGCTTCAAAGGTGTAGAATACGATGTTGCAGCAATGGGACCCAAACCATGAGCCATCGAATTCACAGCCTGCTTCCTTTATAAATACAAGTGTAAAGACGAAAGGGATTTTTAAACAGGGTCGTGAACAACCGCATCTAAAAGTTACAGAAAAGAAGGGTTCATTAATTCTACCATAACTCCATAAACAACGTCCCTAAATCGAATGAAAAGATCGACTATTATATTCAGCCACCTAACAAATGTAACATTTTCGCTTCAAGCAAACTGCATGAAGTGGGGTCGATTTTACGTTTCACGTGTCAAATGAGCATACCTTATGTAGTCTCTATTGTGCGATTCTTCTTCTGATGCTTCAAGGAAGAGAAATGTGCATCTGGATTGATTTTCTCTTCAAACAACTAGCATCTGCTAACTTCCCACGAAAACTATCTAGCGCTTGAACACCATGAACTAAGGGGAGGAGTTTGAATGCCATGCGAGAGGAACCATCGATTGCGTAGGCTAACTTTATGACCGTCGATACAGATATGACATCAATGGTGTGTTTGATAATTCAGAAATCCACTCTGAATGGTGTAAATATATTCGTTATATAAAATAATCGGTGGTGTTTTTTTATACACACCAATTTATTTAAACAAGCATGAAACGGTGATGATAGTTTGGTAAGTCTTGAAGCTGACTTCCTCTATAATTCTGTAATAAACAACTCATTTACACAAGTAGAATCTGAATTTACACCGTATCATGATTTATTCTGAAGGTTACTCTTTCTTAAGCATATAAGTAATATAGTGATACACCATTGTGGATATTGATAACAAGAAACACAAAGTTTAAAATTATTTTTTTTCTTTTTAACTTAAATGTATAATATTATACCTTACTTTACTGCCCACTTTCAAAACAAAGGTACGCTTGAGCCTCGCAGTTAATGTTAACCGATATGTTACTTTCTAGATAATTATTTATCCCGAAAATTATTCTGAACAACCTTCATATTTAATTAAACGATAACACGAAGGCCTAAATAATTACTTTCTGAAATATTATTTGAATCTTCTTTATTCAGAAGATTAACAATAGGATAAATCATCTAAAAATAACAAAGCTCAATAATAAATAATTGCCTCAAACGATATTTTCTATGGCAGTAGCTTTGACAAGTAGTCTTTGCTTTCCCCAGATGCGTCTTCAGTTTCTTGTGTTGTAAGAATATGATAATAATAGTTTATTTACTTCACTCTTTATCAGAAATTTTATATATGATTGAACGAATAAAATAGTAAATAAAATAGCTTCTTTAAAGTTTAATTATCTTTTATTGTAATTTTACGATATTTTAAGAGGAAATTAAAACTCTGGAATAATAAATTTCCTCAAGTTATAAATTAAACGTTTATTTCTAAATGTAAGAACGCCTTTGTGAAATGGTTCATTATTTTGAAAATGTACAGACTGTTAAGAAACACAAATGATATTTCAAGACCTCATAACAAAATCCTCTTTGGAAAAATTTAAAACTTTGAGTTAATGGAAAGCTCACCCTATTACTTTTTAACATGTATAGACAAAGTAATACAGAAAAAGAACCTCTTGAGGGAGAGCTAATGTATTTTATTTATTTACTGATAACCCAGCAAGTAATTTCAAAGTTCAGAAAATATTCCACGTTCATTGTTTTGTTTGACTGTTTTGAAGTTAAGCACAAAGCTACACAATCTGTGTTCTGCCCATCACGGGTATCGAAACTGGTATTGTAAGTCCGCAGACATACCGCTGTGCTACTGGGGAGCTAATCTTTAGTTTGAACAACCGATGTACTTGTAACTGTAAGCATGTGTAAAACATTCAAATGTGTTAAAATAAGTCCAAAGAGTTCATTTGTAACATTCAAATGTGTTAAAATAAATACCAATTTTTCATGTGTAAAACATTAAAATGTGTTAAAATAAATACCAAACGTTCATGTGTAAAACATTGAAATGTGTTAAAATAAATCCCAAACGTTCATTTGTCATAATGGACGAAAGAAAGGCTTTAACACATATCACAACTAACAGTTTATTGTAATAACAATTATTACACGCTGTAACCAACCTCATCAACTCAGTATTCACTATACAAACAAAAGATGTATATTGTAATCAACTTTATCAACTTAGTACTTACTGTAAAAACAAACAATATATTATCCGCATCATCTCACTACTTATAATAACAAATTACGTAAATCATAACGAACCTCATCAACTCATAGCTTGCTGTAATAACAAACCACATATATTGTAATAAACTTTATCAACTCATTATTTGCTGTAAAACATGCCGAGTATATACATAGCCATTCTTATTATTTTAGCACTTACTGCAAAGACAAACAATGCACATCGTAATCACTCTCATCAACTCACAAGCTGTAAATACACACAATATATAATTAACCTTCCTCAACTGATTTCTTACTCTGAGTACACTGATCAATTCACTAATTATTTTTATTAGAAATATGTAAAATTAAATCAACCTGATCAACCTACTTAGTCATACCCATTACTGTGGTAATATTGCATTTTGCATAACAAACTGATGTTTTACTTGTTTGTTTCGTGTTACAGCACAAAGCTACACAATAGACTATCTGTATTGTGTATACATCAAGTATCATAACTTGGTGTTTTGCGTTACAAGCTTCATACTTACTGCTGAGCCACTGAAGGTCAATGAGATGTAGGGTGTTCAAGAATGGGATCACCTCAAAATCTTTATTTGTTGGCAGATGGAAAGCAAACTCCAATTGTTGTTTATGAAGAGGTTTTGTTATAATTTTAAAATTTTGAGATAAAGGTTATGTTCAAGTTATTATTTTGAAACATATGATTGCTGCTAAACTTATATTGTTGACTGGAATTTAATCTTACACTAAATGTACTGAAAAATATAAATTATAACAGTTAGCAGTTTGTAATTCAATCGATATTTATGCTCTTGTAATAATTTTTCATTATTTGTAGCTTATACGCTTAAACACTGTACACTGAATATTATGCAAGATCCAGATACTTATTTATTACATATTTTTCACATTTATTAAGTAGGAACTAAGTGTGCTTCATCGTGAGTGCAGATTCAAGGGTTTGTCTTGTTTTCAATGTCACGCAAAGCTATACGACGAATATTTGTGCTAGCCGTCCCTAATTTTGCAGTGATAGACTAGAGGGAAGGCAGCTAGTCAACACCATCCACTGCCCACTCTTGAGCTACTATTCTACCAACGAATAGTGGGGTTAACCGTCACATTATAACGCACCCGTGGCTGAAAGAGCGAGTATATTCGGTGACGGGGATTCGAATGCCCTAACCACCAGGCCTTTCCAGGCCCTAAATTTAAGAGAATGAACTAGGACTGTTTATTTTGTGCATACAAAGTTTTAAATACAACAGATAGGTATGAACATATACAGGGTGTCCGAAACGTCAGGAACCATAGGTGATTTGCAACTTTCCTTAATTCTAGGTATGTGACTGGTTATGGCGCTGCCAAAGAATGAGAAGGTCGAGTTAATCATGCTGTTCATCTAAACGTTTTTGAATTACAAGGGCAGCATTCTATTAAATTCGTTGAAGTGCCTGTGGTTCCAGACTTTTCGCACACTGTATATTCACTGTAGAAATTGCTAATTTTATAATATTTTACTACAACTTATTTTACCATTTATGGACGTTATATGCTGTATGACTGAAGGCTTGTTAAAAAATACATTTCTAATGGTTAGTATTTCCCCTTAGTATATTTTAAGGAAAATAAAAATAAAACAAAATCAGAAAATTAAAGTTTAATTATATAATGACAAATAGTACGTCCCCTCTGTTAAAGTTATTTTACAGTATTTTCTTCTTGCTGTGCAACTTGAAAATCATCAGGTTTTGTTTTTGTGTTTAATTTCGGGCAAAGCCACACGAGGGCTTTCTCGCTAGCCGTCCCTAATTTAGCAGAGCCTACCGCTAACTCTTGGGCTTCTCTTTTACCAATTAATAGTGGGATTGACCATCATATTATAACGCCCTCATGGTTGAAAGGACAAGCATATTCGGTTACAAGCATTCGAGCCCTGAACCCTCACAGTGAGAGTCGAGCGCCCTAACATCTAGGCCATTTGTGACCAAGTACCAGGGATAATGTTTAGCAACTGCATAAATTCAATAAAATATTTACTCAGCACCAATTATATGAGAAGTGTTATGGTATAACTTTTGTAGAGCGTGGGTGTAACGTCAGGAGAACACTTGTTCAGCCACATGTGCTCATGGTTACAAAGAAAAATATTAGCTAGCGAGGGTCCTAGTGGTGAACCCATCAAAATGCCATCTATCTGGCCATACAATTGACTGTTAAAGACAAAGTTGTCACAGATGGCTGGAGGCTTGAGAGATACGTGTTTGAAAGAAAATACATTGACTGAAATACACACATTTGAATGTTTAATTTTATTTATACTTAATTTATTATGTGGCAGCCAAAGTGTTAAGTTCAAAGTTCTATTACTTTAGGAATGGTGACTGTTAAAAGACTTGTTTCATCTGCGCCAGATGTAGGTCCTTAACTTGGATGTAAGAAAGCACTCTTTAAAGTAGCATGAAATACATGTATAGAAATGCATTTATATTTTAAAATATGAAATCATGATTACTGTTTTACATAATGTGTTTTAAACTGTACGCGAGATGCTTTATTTCATGGCATGTATGTAAGTAATATTTTAAATATAAACAAACTGTTATGGTGATGCCACCAATAAATTATGCAAATTACTACTAACAAAAGTTCAGACCTTCTTTGATATTGTATTCTGAACTTTCATAAATCTTGAAAACATCTTCATTATTTTTAAAGTAGAAACACTAAATGTATATTAACAGACACCTGAAACACAACTTCTAAATCTGTGAAATAATTTATTTAAAAAATTCAGGAACCTTTAATTTGTGACAAGGCTAGATTCCTATTTTAAGCTTATACAAATAACAGATGGAATTTCTGTCCAAAAGAACTTGTGTCCAACTTAAAATCTTAAAAACAACACAACTTATATAATACATAAATAATAAAAATCATGTTTCACATATGAATAACTAGCTTTAGTTTCATTATTCACATGACAGTCGTTAATCTGTGCCAGACCTTTCTTTACCCGAGATCATGAAGCCATTTTGGATATATACATTTTTTAAAACAAGAAGCAAAAACACTATACATAATTTTAAAATTGTCATGTTTGCATTAAAAACTGATATTTGAATGAAATTGTCAACAACATTATTTCCTCCAGTCCTGTCCCAAACTTAATTTTGCTACCGATCCTTCAACAGAGATCCAGTATGTTTTTTCCAGAAATTAAGCACCAGCTGTTGGTAATCTATACAACAAACAAAATGATCACAACTCAAGGACTTCTGCTAGTTGCACAATATTTTGAGCTTGAAGTAGTAATGGCTTATCAATCATCGCTCCACGGAATTCAAAGGCTCCCTGTAATAATAATAAAAAAGAAGACAAAAATTCATTATCTAAGCAATAAAAATACACAGAAAACAAGCTTAATGCTAAAAAAAAAACATTTTCTGAAAATATAAAAGACTATCAACTCTTGTTTACAAATTATCTATGCTGCTAATAAAAACTAAGTTTAAATCTACAAGGGCACTCTGTATTTAATATAAAGTTACATAAATTTGATACTCTTTCTTTCCTTCAATGGGGAACATACATTTTAAACTAGTTACAAAAGCAGAAGAAAAACTGTTCAAATATAAAGCATCTCTTAAGTTATGTATATTAATCCTGATAAAGCCACAAAGGCAAAACATTGGTTAAAATAAAAAAAAATTATTTTATATTTATTTATTTATATGGAGTATAAAGGTCGTTTTTTCTAAACTTTTCATATCTTAATATATATATATAAAGAATTTTATGACAGTATACATTCTTTGATGCTGTACAAATGTATTTTTGTAACGATTATGTAAGAGATACAGTTCACTTATTACACATTACTTAGACTTGGGTCAAGTGTTTAGAACCTTTGTGACAATGTAAATAAATGGGAATTTGAAATATTTAAAAATTGCAAACACAAGATTTGACATACCATTCCACTCATTTGATGCTCTTTAAATTCTTTGATTAATTCTTTGGCCCATTCAATTTTATCAGTCGATGGTGCAAAGGCCTCTTGCACAATGGGAATTTGGCTTGGATGAATAACCTGTTTTCCAGTGAATCCCATCTGTGCTCCCTCCAGAGATTGCTCCTTTAGCCCTTTCAAATCTAGATTAGTGCAGAATTATCAACTACCTGTAACTGATTCTCAACAATGTTAACAACAATAACTCAATTTCATCTAACAGGTCACATGCAATTTCATATTATCTTTCAATGAACATTAGATTACAATCAGTACAATACAGGAACTAAACATCATATAAGTTTTAGTAAATGTTTGAGCTGCGATATTATGTTAAAAACATTGTAAGTATAAAAAAAGAAAAAATCATGTATTCCATTTCAAAAGTCGTGATAACATTCTAAGTTACTACATACTTATACTTATTATTACTTTATACTTATAAAGCAGTAGTGTCCATATGTTACACCCTCTACAGTGGCAACACTGAAACAGAGAAAGAAATTTATTAGTGACTTCTGTTTGTCTTGATCTGGAGAAGCAAGCTCCGGAGTACACTATATCAGGGAGAGTTTTAGTTTTTCCAGAAAAAAAATCCAAAATTGACTAAAATTCTCACAAATTTCATTAATTACTTCACATAACAGAAGATTGAAATGGAATGTTTTTTTGGCCTGTTAAAATAGAATCAAAAGTGCTGAGTAGGAAGCCAGAAAAGCAGTATTTCAAGGGAGAATTTGAAAAAAAGAATGCTTTTTATGGAGACAGTTGGCAGCAATATACAAAAAGGAAAGAAGAATGAGAAGGCTTCCAGCAAGGTCTCACTTGAAACATTAATACCAGGTCTAGCATATATTGCTTTGCCTCCATGACTCCATCTGTTTTGATCCTTATGTTCTTTTGGCCAAGATATATCATCACAAAGGAGAAAGTTCATGATGAAGTCAAAGGATGAGTATTCAGATTGTCTTTTTTAAGGTGGTTACTCGCTGTAACATCTGTTAAGTTTCATTTCTTGTTGAATGTGTCATTTCAATGTACAACTTGAAACATCCGTATTAACAGTTAAGAAATTTTATGGTCAGTACAGAACCTTTTTTTCCTATCTTCCTTGCAGATATATGTGAAAGGTGTCTTTCTGCTAAATGCACGATGCAAGGAGTTTTTGATCCTCACTTCTTAAGTAGTAAGTGGACCAGTCTTTTGACATTTAAACAACTAGATGGTGTTTGTTATTTTGCAGCATTAACAAAGGTATTACTTACAGTAATTATAGTTTATGTTAAGACTGATGCATTGGATACTATTACAAAAGGCTTTATAATACTGCCAATTGAGAATGATTTTGCATCAAAGCTTTGTGACTGGTTGTAGCATCCCCAGTTGGGCCTTCAAGAAAACACCTCAGTGGATCAAACATGCATTTTCTTTTTGAAAATGGCTTCAATATTTCTCTCTCTGGTGTACAAGATTTATTTAGTGGTAGACAAAAATGCTCTACCATGCCAAATGGGTACCTGTCAGGATCCTGAAAGACATACTGGAAAATTCATTTCAGTGAAAAAACATTATTATTATAAACTTTTATGCTTTCTCTATTTTCATAGCCGAGCAACCCAAGAAGTTTGTTGTGTGCATAAACCAAGTTGTACTTCAATGTGTTTTCCATGTCAAAAAAAGTATAATTTGGAATGCAATGTGCCCTTCCAGCTACAAGTGGTACAGAACGTTCGTTGTAATGATACCAAAAGCATTTTTACTGCACTCCTTAAAGATATTTAATGAACTACATATATGGAAACAAATGAAGTCCTACAGAATTCTATAGATTAAATTCACAGAGTCAGGAATTAAACAAAAAAAAAGATTCATACATCTTGAGTCACTAAATTGTTAATTCAAAATGCATAAAACCTCAAGGACTCATATTTGTGGATCATGAGAAATTCATCAGTGGTGACACCATTCCTCACAATATTTGACACTCATGTTGCACCCATTCTGAACATTGCAGATTCACAAGGTTTCACTTACATATATTTCAACAGTATATTTAATGGGTTTTTTTCTATTAAAACTACTTTTATGTTACAACCTTTATAATTCCTTCACTTGTTCATATTACACCATGCAGAATATATAAAAATACTGTATTTTTTATTTTAAATTTTATAGGCTTATAACATCGATATTATGATCTACATTCCACAGTGCTATGAAATCATAGCTAAGTAACTTCAAGATATCTACACTATGTTGTTGTTCTTAGGCTACCATAATGCTACATTTGTAAGGTGCACCATATTTTAACAATGAGACAAAGTCCTCAAAAAAGTATTATTTTCACAAGGAAAACTTAAGAGTTTATTATTTTACTATGAATAACACAGGCCTGCGATGGTTTTATTGTCTTGAAATTTTCAAATGTTCTTCAGTAATTACTGTACGTTGAATCCGAAAATGACATCCATTTTTCTCCATCATGTACTTATTTTTCACAAAATGTAATATGTACTTTCACATAAGTGAAACATTTTCATTGAAATCGGATCACATTTTGTGATGCTTAAAATGTTGACAACCACTTGGTTATAGATTTCTCTAGACAAATCGCGACATGAGAGTCTTATCGATCATTCTAGAACCCATGAGAAACACACCGCTAGTATATAAACGGTTAACAGGCCACATGACATGTCATTTCTGGATAGTATTTGTTAGTGTGCACTTTGACATTATTTATTTCCTTTCAATGTTATTTATTCATTGCTGTGGCAACAATATGTATGTAAATGACACAAACATATTCCATTACATTTGTGGTAAATGTGTTGTAATAAAACAAAGGCAAAACATTAAAGAATTCATCAGATAAGCTTATTATGCATATTTTGGAATAAAACTTGGGGACCAAGACAAATCATGGGCTCTGCACAAAGTTTGCAACATTTGTGTCAAGGAGTTGTGACAATGGACTAAACATAAGGAAAAGTCTTTGCCTTTTGGAATTCCAATGGTCTGGCATGAACCTAGAAACCACAGAGATTAATGGTATTTTTGCTCATGTAATGTGCAAGGCTACAACACTCAAAATAAAAAGGAAATTTCTTATCCAAACCTTCAATCTGTATAAGTATTGTTGCTCATGGATCTGATGTACCTGTACATACTCCACCAGATACAGTTTCATCTCATTCTGAATCTGATGTCAACAGAAATTATGATAGGGATTGCTTTCACCCAAAACATCTGATTAACCACAACTTTTCACACAAGTTGAACTTAATGATTTGGTGAGAGATTTGTGCCTTCCAAAAGATTGTTCAGAGCTTTTGTGGTCCAGACTTCAGGCTAAGAAGTTACTTTCTCCAGGGACATCATTTTATTGGTACAGAAATCGTGAGAAAGAGTTTATACCGTACTTTTCGCAAGACGATTCACTGGTTTATTGTAGCAATATTGCTGAATGAATACCAACGCTAGGAGCTGCAGTCTATGAACCAAGTGAGTGGTGACTGTTCATTTATTCTTCCAAAAGAAGTCTAAAAGGTGCTCTCCTTCACAATGGTAACATATACGCATCTCTTCCTATTGCTCATTCAGTTCACTTGAGGGAAAATCTCAAACTTCTTAATAACGTTAAAGACAAAGAACATAGTTGGCTACTTTGTAGAGACTTAAAAGTCCTTTATATGTTGTTGGGTTAACAATCCAGTTATACAAAGATTCCATGTGTTTTTATGTGAATGGGACAGCAGAGCACAAAATCAGCATTGGTTAAAGAAACGATAGCCACATAGAGTCAGTCTGATACCAGGATTGAAAAACATTGAACATGAAAGTTGGGTTGACACAAAGAAAGTCCTATTACCTCCACATAAAATTGGGCTTGATGAAGTAGTTTGTAAAGAACTTAGACAAAGATGGCAACTGTTTCAAGCATTTATGTGGACAATTTCCAGATCTTTCAGAAGTAAAACTTAAAGAAAGGATTTTTATTGGTCCTCAGATTACAAAATTGACTTTGGATGAATAGTTTGAAAGGACAATGAGGAAAGTTGAAAAAGAATCATGAATTGCCTTTAAAGATGTTATTGACAAATTTTTAGGAAACAACAAGGACCCAAATTACAAAAATAATTTCAGTAACATGCTCGAATAAATTCGAAGACTTGGGTTGTAATGCAAGTTTGAAAGTTCATTTCTTACAATCACATTTTGACTATTTCCTTGAAAACCTCGGTGCCATCAACAAAGAACAAGGGGAAAGGTTTAATCAAGACATCAGGGAAACGAAGAGGAGGTGTCAGGGAAGGTGGAACATCAGCATGATGGCTGATTACTGCTGGTCATTGAAATGGGATGCTCCAGATGCAATACATAAAAGAAGGGCTACAGGACATAGTTTGAGACTAAAAGACATAGATTTCACAAAGAAATCAATTCCGCTGTAAAGTTGTACAAGTAGGTTTATTCTTTACACTAATGTAGTTTGGTTAGCATCTTTTGTAAATGTACAAGTTACCATAGTGTTTAAGTTTGTAAAATATAAAGGAAATGAACTAATCGGTTATCATTACATTGACTGCATGTTGAATTATTTTCACCAGATAATCTAATAGAACAAGTCACTGAAAGAACAACACTTAAAACAAATTACTTCCTGACAGTGAACAAAGAAAATAAGAATATTAAAACACAACACCTAAAGATAACAAAAGAAGTTTTCTTAATTAATATAACACTTTCAAGATCATAAAAATGAGAAACTAATAAAACATAACACCTCAAGATATTGAACATAAAAAAACAATAAAACATTACTCTCAAGATAGTAAACAAACACAAAAATACAATAAACTAATAACAAATAGCACTGTATGATAGTGAATACAGAAGTATGCAAACATAACACAATGAAAACAAATTTTAATACTATTCAGAGAGATCACACACTCCTGATAAAATTGTTCAATTTGCACCTGAAACTTGAGCAAAATAAAGTATAAGCAATAACCCTCCCATTCTTCAGATCTTTGTTAATCACTTTACTGGTGGGGATGTACTTGGATTTTTTTCATGATAATAACTGTAACATGATAACTGTAAATAGAATAATATAACTCCTAGAAATAAAAATACTCTAAACACATAATAAAACACAAAAATGAGAAATAACAATTATATGAAAAAGCTAAAATAATGTTAGTTCTATGCATATTTTCATAGAATTACATATAACATGAATCCAATGTACCTTTATAGTCAATATATACAAGGTCCACAGCTTGTATTTTCAATGACTTCGCAACCAGCACAATGTTTTGACGTGCCAAAAGTACTTCTTTGGCTTGTAATGTTCTTGTTGCTCCTAGAATAAAGTTATTTAGAAATTAAGATTATTTTTGTCTAAAAAGAAAACTATTATTTTTTATTAGTTTCTAAATACAAGCTCCTTATATTTGTCATTTGAAAAAAAATTCTTTAATCTTCAGTGGTTGGAATGTTCTTGCCTTTTTTTTTTTTAAAAAAAAAGAGCTTCCTGGTGTTGAAAGAGTTAAAAGTTAATTATACAAAGTATTTGTATTTTGTATTTATAGCAAAGCTATTAAGGCTGTCTACTGTTGTCCCTTATTTCAAAATACTGACCAGAGGGAAAGCAGCCAGTCAGTAGCATCATAACACCCACTTTAAGAAACTGACTGTCACTCTTATAATGTACTCACAGCTTAAAGCATAGAAAATATTTTACGGTATCTCACAGCTTCGAACCAAGCTAACCAGCTCAGAAATCCAGAACTCTACTACAATAAATGACAAAGTACTGATTTGTCCACAATAAACATGTAAAACAAACACGAGCTTACCAAACAAAAATCCAACAGAAAGGAGACCAAGATTCTCTGAAAGACACTACAGTATTATTATTATTATAATTTGTTTACTTAAGTTTTCTCCTTTTTTCTTTTCTTTCTGTTTTAATAATTTTGGACACCCAAAAGAGAATTTTTATTCAACTTGTCTTTAATGTTTAATTTGTTCTGAATATGCCAGTACTCTGGATTTTTAAGTGTTTCCTATTTCTACAAATCAATAAGTGCTTTTGTTTTTCTGTTCCTTATTTAAGTTCAGGTCTTTGTTTTTTATTAACTAATGTACTTCTTTTTCTCATACAATATTCTAATGATAATTGGAGACCTAATTGCCTTGAAAGTTATTTATTACTTGACAGCTTATTATGAACATTTACTTGTTTTCCCCCTGAAGTTGGAAGCAAATATGAGAAAAATTCAAAGTATTTTGTCATTATTTAATAATTATCCATGAACGGTCTTCTAAATATACACTGTACTATACAAATAGATGTTATTAAGGACACAAAATAGTGCATGGTACATCTGTTGAAGTAATCCAAGTTTCAAATTATAAAAAAAACAAAAAACTATAAAATTACATGGAATTCTAATTCATGTTCTCACAGTTCTAAAACTGGAATTCTTTTAAACCTTTCTTTGGAATTTTTCAATAATTAATTTGGCTAATATCACACAGATATTTAACATCCTCTTCAAGCACTATTGAAAATAACAAAAGTTTTTTTTAATGATATTTTGATTGCTGTAATTAAATCAATCAGTACATTGAAAAACCTGAGATAATGTGATATTGTCATCTTATGGTACTGCCATGCAAAAACCAGTTAAGTACAAACACACGATTTCTAGTTTTACTAAATAGTGATTTGTGAAGGATAGAAACCAAAGAGGGTACATACTCCTTTTTATCAAAAAAACAATATTCATATGGTAAACAGTGAGGTTGAAATACTATTATTAATATTATACAATCTTCTAATTCTTGAAAATCCCTATGACACTAGATAAAAAATGCAATGTTAAAATATGTTAAAGACCTAATATTAATGTTTTATGACAAGTATAATTAATTATAATCATTCTTTGACAGCTTGGAAAAGGTATTCACACCATACCAATTACTGTTGCCATCTCTTTGGCTACCTTACATAGATGACATATTTGTCATTTGGCCAAATGGCAGTACAACTTTTCCAATTTCATATCTGAACTTAATGCAAAAAAACACACACACTTTACAACAGAAATTGAATATGGTGGTACCTTAACTTTTTTATAAATGAAATGATAAATTAAGTACTTATGTTTACCAAAAACATGCACACACAAACAAGTATCTGGACTTCACAGCTTTCTATCCCGTTTCAGTTAAGTCCAGAATCCTGAAGTGTCTGATAATCAAAGCTGAAAATATATGTGACAAAGATCACCTTAAAGCAAAACTAAAACTGAAAATCATTTTCCAAGAGCAGAAAAATCCTGATCTTTTATCAAGAAAATTGTACACAAGAACAAGAAGCAGTCTAAGCAATAAATCACATAAGCTAATACACATTCGAATACAGGTTATATGCAATCTCGCATATATATATACCAGGACTCAGTGAGAGACTCCAAAGTGTATTAAAAAGTATAATATCTGTATAAGCACTATTCATGGAGAAGAAGAGGAATCCCATGGCAAGAAAAGACAATGCTGGTTGCCTCAAAAGGAAGCAATACGATATAACAATGAAATGCCCAAATGGGACAAATGAGATGGTCAGAGTCAAAACAATTATACAGAGAAAAAAGGGGAAGGGAGGGTGATTGAAGAAAACATCTAACACTTTCCCAGGCACCCCAAGACTTGGGGAGGAAGGAGTAGCCTAAGAATAAAACCAATCTGTGATTTTGATAAAGAATTCTAAAGGTATACAGGGCAAAAAATATCAGAGTATCATCTCTTACAAGTGAGAATGGGAAAAAAATGTATCTTAAGAGAAAAATGGTAAAGGAAACATGTGGCCAAAAGTTTAAATGGAGGGCATGCAAGAGCCCTGAAAACTAAACTGGTGTTCAACTCTAGAAAAGGAACAGGACAAGGAAGACAATTGATTAGAAAGATTCAGAAAAGGTCTGTAAGAACTGGAGGAAAAAAAAGAAGAGAGAGAGAGAATGGTTAAGAAAAATGTAAGGTCACTGAAAAAGCTGCTCTGTAACTAGCAACTGTAGAAACATAAAGACCACCCTCAATAACTCAGATAAAAAAAAAGGAAGTGAGATAAGGAAGAGTCAGCCAACCCAAATGAGATGACTCCTGAAAGAGAAGGGATGTCATAGCAGAATTTGCCTCACTGGACTGGGCAACAAGGAGACAGTAGTCTATACAGCAGTGGAAATACAGGCCTCATGAAGGTATCGTCCATGTAAAAGTTCTCAGGATCCCATTGAAGACATATGAGGCTGTAGCCAATACAAAAAGAAGGGCCTGGAATTGAAAATACAAACTGTTGTGGATGAAACATGAGGAAGCAAGAAGTAGTCAGCAGAATCAGAATGTGGAGAAAAGCATCTGAAACACTGATCTTGGGCATCCACAACAACCTCTTCAAAGTGAGAAAACCTTGCATCTTGAACAAAGGGATGATAAGAAATTGGTTCAAGAGCAATGGATCTATAATAGGTAGCCAAACCCCATCTTCTTAAGAACAACAAAAAATGGGAGTAAAATCTCATTGTATGGTCAAGGACCTGCTACAGGATATCCACATCATAAACAGAAGACATAGCTTCCACCAGGCACAAAAGATGCAAAATATTTGATAGGGTTGGAAAGAATACAGAAGAAGGAAAAAGGGGAGATTAAAAGTATAAAGTGAGAGACAGCTCTTGTGAAAACATATGTGTGACCCAATGGTTTTCAGCAATAGAGGTCACAACCGTGATAAATGGGAAATATTGGTTCTCATCAGTCTAATACCAAGGGGCAACTCCAGAAGATAAATCAACTCCAAGGACCCATGACAGCCATCCATGCAAGAGGGGCAGGAGAAGGGGCAACCCTATGAGGCTCCCAAGGATGAGAAACCTGCCAAGACCCAGTGGATCAACATAAATGGGAAATCAAAGTAAGTAAAGGTGAATGCTGCAGAACTACCTGAATTCGAGTTTCCAATGTATAAGAAACTCCCCACAAAAGGTGCTAAATGAAGTTCCATGAGATAAAACTCAGGAAGTCAAACTCCAAAAACTTAAGCAACCCAACCAAGCAAATTCAAGAAACAAGAACAGTGAAATGAGACACTGCAGAAGTAGTCAAGGTCAAGGTGAGAGTTTAAGTAATGATTTCAGAGTCATGATTTAGGGCCTCAGAAGGAAGGTGGAACTTGGACAAATAGTGAAGAAGACGAGCAAGCGAGAGACAAAGATGAGCAGATTGCAGGTAAAGAATAGACAGATAGAAGAAAAATATCTCCAAGCTAGAAGAAGGGTCTCAAGGGATTGAAGCTCAAGAAAAGAAGGATCTTGACTATATACCATAGAAAATTCTCAAGGTCTGGAGGGAACTAGCAACTAGGGATTCAACACAAAGTCGAAACAAAAAGAAATCAACATGAATATCAAAGCAGGGGAAAGAGTAGATAGTCAGAGGATGGAGGCTCATGCAGCAAGGTAACCCAAGAATCAGCAAAATCAATTGGAATATGAGAAAGAAAATGTCAAATACCTGGAAAATCATAGCTGCAATGAAAGAAGGTGGGGTTACGTGATCTTATCTGTGAAAGAGGTTCTGGAAGCAAAAGCAGATGGTGGAAACAGCTAGTAAAAATTATCAATAGATGAAACAAGCTTTTCTGCAGCAACAGAAACAGAAGTTTGGGAATCCTAGATCTGAGATTATGATGATGATAGGATGGAACCAAAAACTATGGTAGTAACAATGCTGACCATCATAATGTCCCCAGCCATTTAAACAATAGAAAATAACTTCTGTTAGGAGTATCTGAATATTGGGAGGTGTTAGAAATGTAGATATGTGAACTCAAGATTTGAAAAAGTCCATGAAACTGTTTTCCCTTTCTTTTTGTATATTAGTTCTTATCATGAAAAAAAAAGAACTCAAAGCAACAAGTCAATTATGTAACTGAAAGTTAAAATGAGAAGCACAGTGGAAAAATTCTGTAATTCTGATTCAAAAGAACATGACCAAATACTGCAATGCTGAAGAAAAGAATGAGCATTTGGTATACACAAAGTGCTCAAGAGGAGTACTGTCCACAGAGAATGTGTCAGCCTCCTACTAGTAGATAGCTACATTTTAATACTGATTGAACCATAGACTTGCACAGTACACGTTATTACATGTAGAGTGGGAGTTTCATTATAATGCAGGTGTAATAATGGTCTTCAAGATGCCAATTTTAGCAAGGGAACAATGCACTAATCAAATGAACAAGAAAAAACAAGCAAACAATACCCAGATAACCCAAGTCTCTTAGAACTTCCGGAAGTCTTCTTGCCTGTATAACACTCTCCCTCCTCCCCAAAATAATTGAAACCCTCCAGGAGAAGAAAGGCTAAATATATTGTCTCTTTAAAGTCTTGATGTATTTGCATACACAGTATCAAACAAACTGATTTCAAGTGACATATACATACACAAATATATAGGTGCTAAAGAAGGTAGGTTGGTTGCTGGAAACAAGGTAGTTGAAATTGGTTAGTCAGCCACCTGTCCACCAAACATGTAACATTATCACAATAGCAATGGTTTCAAAGACAGGACATTAATTGTAGATGTACAATGGTGTGGAAAAAAGACAAGGCTGAAGTACATGATTTACAAAAAAAAAATATAGAGATATATAATGCTGTTTTCATTGCACTACACAATGGCATTCGTATATATATCATACATGTAAAGAATAGGCCCAACTTTGCAAGATACACAATGTGTAAATCCAGTTTGTTACGAGGGAATAAGTTATTGTAAGAGACACAAAGATGCAAGTATGTTTATTGTAGTCTAACCTTGTCCCATGTTTGTTAAATGCAGCAAATGACAACTAGTGAAAATATTAATGTTACTGTTAAAATGTTCACAGAGGTAACAAATGTAAAAAGGCTTGGTATTGCTGGGTCTCAAAGACTGTCTCCCTGAAATTTCATAAAGTTGTGCTGTATGAACAATACCAAGTTATTTCCCTATAAATTAATAAATCTAATTTAATTCCATATATATAAAAGGCCTGGAGAACAGTTATGTCAAATTCCATACTTTTAAAGTATTTTATGGCCTGTATGATCCTGATGTATGGAATCAAATCATGTGCAGTTCTTGCATGTGACCAAATTATGCAAAATTCTTTGTCCTAAAACTTTAATATTGTACCTTGCAATAATTATTTAGAAGTGATCACTTAAGTAACAGAATTTCATTCCTAATATATTATTAGGTTTCATGTTGTTTTAAACTAGAAACAAAACTTCTTTATCATACCAATATCAGCACAAAAATCATCTGATCCAAAAACAACTCCATCCAGAATAAACAGACCCTTTTCTGATAAATCAACAGCTCGTTGACAAATAGTTCTAAGGTCAAGTAAACTTTTGGCACTTTCTATGTAGATGATGAGATTTATTTTATCCACCAGAGTTCGTGTCCGTAAGTGCTTAAATAGTTCTTCAGAAATCTAATATAAATATACATTTAAAATCAGATTAAAAGTCAGTATTAACAATTATATTACACTACATAATCAACTTAAAGATAGTACAAAAAATTAATCAGTCTGACGTCATTATGGTCTCTGCCTGTACTATATAATTAGAAGTCTTTGAAAATAAAACTCGAAAAAATTAATTTGATTTGTTTTTTTCTTATGGAAAAGCTAAGGTACCATCCCTAATCTTGAAGTACTGACCAAAGAGTAAAAACAGCCAGTCAACATCCACTATCCATGCTAAGGGATTGACTATTACTTTTATAATGCATCTATATCTTAAAATGAATATTTTGTAGCATCACACTGATTTGAACCCAGCTCATCAGCTCTAAAATCCAGAGCTCTGCCATAGGGGCCAGTCCATGTCCTGAGTGCATAGCATGATTTTTAATTTATTTTTTTCTCTTGGCAGTAATGGGATGTGTACCATATAATCTTGGCACATTAACTCCTTGCTTATGTGTTAAGCCCTATGGGTTTAACACTTTACCATCAAAGTAACCATGAGATAAGTCATACTATAACTTTTGATAGTGTATGTGTGTCCTCACAAAGATTCGCAGACTATCAGAAAACATACCAAGGCTTTTTTACAAAAAAAAAACAAGTTTTTTAATGAAATACTTTAACTAAAGATTTTACTTGTAAATTTTTGCAACAATTGCTTTGATCATCACACTTCAAACTCTCCAAAGGTATAATGGCTTTCCTCATGCCAATAATCTGGGAAGACTAAAGTATTATGCAGTTTAAAATGAGTGTTTTACACTGGTTATAAACATGTACATCAAATAAGTACATGTGTCTTCCATATTTTAAGTCTAAGTATAGAAGGTGGGTGCAGCATCTGTGAGGAGTTAGCAAAATTTATTTCTTGTGGCTGGGAAGAATTGACCCTAAGTAATTTAAAAGAAGGATGTGTAAATAAAGCAATTAATCTAGTTTCTGGCTAAACCTACAAAAAATTAAGATCTGTAAATATTTGTTCATCGCATGACAACAATACCGAAGTTTAAGAATTTGGTTACAGGCTTCTTTTGAGATAAAGGAATTAAAACTTAGATAATATAAAACTTATATTATAATACTAATTTCATTGACATACATTGATAGTAGAGTTGTTTAATTACATTTTAAATGTAACTTGGTAAAACCGTGCGACATGCACAGAAAAAGGTACTTGTAAGTTTAGAACTAGCCACTGGGCTGCATTCGTTTGAGTACCTTCATAAAACAAACCAAGGAGCTAGTGAAGGAAGAAAATATTTTATCAACACTATGGAAACTACTGCTTTAGATCACTTCTAAAAATATATTAGAAAATCATCCTAATGACATGTGTACAGAAAGTTATGTATGTCACACAAAAACAAATTTTGAGCTTCAACACATCTTTACAATCTGTCATTATGTTCAGCCACACTCTTTCTGATGACCGTGCAACTTGACAATAACTCTGCATCACAAAGTTTCCATTGCAAAAGGCCATGGTTTAAGGATATCATGCCTATAGCATACTATTCCTCCCTACAATCCATACAATGTATAAGGAAGACAGTTTCCAAACATTAGTTTCAATGGTTTATTCACAAAGAAATTCATAGATGCTGCATTTGGCAAATTAAAAAATATGTCTTTATATGAAATAGCATGAATATCCATTTCATTCTTCAACTGCTTGAGGTATGTAATGGTTGAATGGAAAGAATGACTGAAAGCCTTAACTTTGTTCGTTAATGCATATCATGTGCCTTCATTTCCAGATAGAAACCATTCTTGATTGTTATTTACTGTTGCCTGGAGTATGTGGATGGCTTTTGCCACTGACCTTCATGTTTGAGGATTCTCATCTGTTACAAAACATTGCACTTTGATTCCCATGACTGAGGTATGAGAAGTTACATGTCTCTTTCTGGTTGAGTCTAGCTGCTCCAACTTGATCCATCTTCCTTTGTTTTCTAATACCATTAAGCACAAGGGATATTCCCATCTTGATGATTCTAAATCTCAGTACAAACACATCTTTATGACAAGAATGTATGAATACCTTGCACTGTAAAGTGCAGTTACATACTCTTCCAAAAAGCAATCAATTTTTGGTAGCATCACACCACCTATGAATTAAGAAACAATGCCAAAATGTAGTTCTGATATATTCTGTTCCAACAGCTCTTTATATTTGCTGTTGTTGCCATGTGACTTGTTGATTTATATATTCAAAATCAATTTAATACAACATACTCAACCTCACAATCAGAAAGATCTTTTCTTACCCCTTTCTCTTACAAAACAAACGCCACGCAGCCTCATCATATTAAGGCTTTAATCTTCACAAAATTTGTAGTATTTTCAAAACAGTGCTCTCCTATATTTTTTAAAAAGATTGAGAAATTTTAACCCCCACCTATTAAAAAAAACCATCCAAATAAGAAGTCTTATATTATTCTTCAAAATATTCTTCAGAATATTCAGGAAGAAACTAAACCAGCCACAACCTAAAATTTATCTATTCTATCATCAATATTTAAGTTATCTTTAATTATCATACAAAAAGATTTCTAGCAAATTATCTGGGTAACACATTAATACATATGTCCATAAATTAAACATACCCACTCAACATGATCCACACTTTCCACTTTTGGAAACATGATAGTTGGAGGAAGTCTCCCAGCTTTGAATACTTCCTTCATATCATCACTTGCTAAACCACTGTCAACCGAGTTCATTCTTACCACACATTCGGTTCGACCAAATTCTACTTGATCCAGCATGTGTCGAATAGTCTTACGAGCTTCTTCCTGAAACAGTCGATTGTAACAAAATTAAATTGCCTAAAAGCATAGCCATTTTGTTACAAAACCCTACACAACTTGCATTAATCAACAACAATAAATCAGTTATGAGCTAATTAATTTTAATGTTTTATTAAATATAGATATGAAAGATTACTTAAGATTAATTAAGTTTTCATATGAAATAATTATTTTCTTTGAACGATTCAAGGGTGCTACTATAGTGTGCAGTCTACAAAGATATTTACACCATAGCGTGCAGTCTACAGAGATACCGTCTTCATCACCATTTTAATGATTCATTAAAACATTATTTCTTGCTAAATAATTATATCTATTTTCGTTTTTCTTTAGCAAATAATAATAATTTAATAAGTTGTGTTTTCCAAAATAGTACCTTAAATTTAGGTTATAATTGTGATAGTTTTGATTGTTGGAATTTATTTCATTCCAATTATATTTGCCCCAAAAACATTACGTAATGGTATTTTGTACTTTATTAGTTTGAAAGCGTTATTTATAATAAATGGTGCCAATTGCAAATAAACGAAAGTTAAAATGGTGATGATGATGATGATAGTATCTGTGTAGACTACACAACATAGTGTAAATATCTTTTTAGATCCCATGCTATAGTAGCACCAATTCAAGTATATTATGAAAAAATTCCATTCATTGACAGTTTAAAAAAATAAATTATGAAATTTCTATTCTAACAAATCTACAATGATTGGCTTAGAAATCTAAAGGGAGAAAAAAAACAACCACTACAATTTAGGTCTTAATCAGGAATCTTTTTGGAACTGCACACAATGGGTACAATCCAGGAACAGTCTGTAATACATCATAAAGAATCAGTTTTTCAATTATATATAGTTACAAAGTTAGACCAACGTATGTGTATTTTTAACAAAAAAAAACAATAATTGATATTTTAATTCAATAAGGATAACTAATTTTTCAATCATGCAATTTAAGAAGTGGTGGATCTAATACTGGCACCAGATATGCATTTATCACACTTTTGAATTCATAATTACCCCATCTTCTTCAACTTGACTCACTATTGTGAATTCTCACTGGTTATACGAACATTACACTTGTTAAGACTTGTCAAGCAATACTTGATGCATTCTGAAAATTTCCAAGAATTTGCTTTATAACACAAGTTGAGATCCATCTAGTAGTAAAGACCAAGTATTCTGCCACACAACATGGAAATGGAAATTTTAACCTTTTCTTGTTAATGTATGCTTATCTGGGAAATTAACTGTCAATATTGAAAACATTTGAAATTACTATATTCAGCTTAAAAATTTAAACATGTAAACATTTATAATGTTTTATGCCTTACAGCACAAATTAGTTTTCAACTATCAGTGCCAATTTTTATGGGGCATGAACTGTAGTGCTTTTGAAATGCTTTATTTTGGGATTTCTTCCTTCACAAAAAAGGCAAATGGTCAAGAAAAACTACCAAGAGAGCCATTCAAAATGCAGAAGTTTGATTTTTTTTTGTGCCGAGCTTTAATTTCTTATTCTGTTAATAAAATGTTCATAAGAAATAAAAAAAAAATGTTACATGAGTTTGAGTAATATGAAAAAAGTAACATGATTAGTTAAATCTGAAATAAAAACTGTTTAAAACAACTGAACAATGCACACTTACTGTTAATAAATAATACCAACAGCTCTCCCCAGTTAATTATTAACAACCAAGTATCAGTTGTGTTATCTAAAACATAAATGTTCACTATCTGAATATGTTCCAAATACTCATTTGGTACTAGGCTTTGGTTAAAATTAGTGAATCAATGTATGAGCTACGAGCCCACTCTTTTATTAGAGCTGCTTCCAGTTCATCAAAACTGCTTAGAAGTGAATCATGTGCAGGTAGGTGTAGTGCTGAGCAAGCAATTATCACTTTGCAGTTTGATTTGATATTTGTATATAATCCAGATTACAATTATTTACCATTCTAATCAGATCATTATTTTTAGAAACAAAAAAGTGTAAAAAAAAAGAAACAATGAAAACATAATAATAATAACACATGACTTGGTATCCATAACTCAAAAAATATTAAAAGAGATGTCACAAATGAAAAAGTAGTGATCTGTAACTAAAATTTGTATCGTTAATAAATATCAAAATAGTAATTTGTTATTTGTCTTGTTGACATTTTCCAATAAGAATTATAAATATGAAACAGCTTGTGGGTACATATATATGTATTTGTAGTATCTTATTATAATGGAGCTTGCGATGTATACATCCAAAACTCAGATCTCGGAAACTACAGCACCAATCATAACTGGAAATATTTTTACAACTGGGCAGTATTTTTATAGCTGAGCAAT